TTGTGCAAGAGTTTTAAGACCAAAACCATGGTGACTTGGAAGTAAAATACGTGGAAATAGAAATAAATTTGTAAAAGCACAATTACCAACTAACCTGAAAATTCACCTATCAACCTATCATTTTTCTTGAATACAATACTGCATTGGCTAGTCTCACCTGGAAAGTTTTCTTAAAAAGCTTAGGTCAACACACATTGAAGATCATAGAATCATTAAACCATCATATTTGCGAGTAAGGAAAGTAATATAACGAGACGTTTATGGTTAGTAGAGTTTTGTGATATAATTAATAGACAAAATAGATTTGAGATATACATTTATAGTGTATTTGCACCAACAAAGTTAACCATTCATTGCTCAATTTTCATATTTCTTGGTGTTATTCTATATGACTTAAATATGTAAATGTACTGCAATGAGGTCCTTCTCAAACGAATAAAGAAATGCCAATGATACACATTACGGCTAGAAACAATTCTCTATTTTCACAAAACGGTTTCATCATTGTTCATCTGCGGATTCGCAACACTTGGGATACTATTTATCATCTTGTACTAAAAAAAGTCACAATTTTGCATAAAGATGGAACCTGACCATAATATTGACACAATGTTGCATAATAACCACAAAACTTCAAAGAATATGATCAAACAAACTAACATCAGAGACGTATCATTACTTGCCTGAACATAATGTAGCAATATTGGTCGATTAAGAAATACTTAATATTGGTAAGAAATATTTAATATTGGAGAGAGATAGCCAACATAGATTAGGTGCAGAGCCGGCCCCAAAAATATATGGGTCAGAAGCAGAAATATTTTTTGAACCGAGTATAAAAATTGGGAAAAAAATTATGTCGAATTTAGCAGCCAAGATTCGAATTCAGTGCATACTAGCCTAGATAGTCAAACATTTACCAACGTTCTATAAAGACTTTTTGTTCAAAAGCGGGACCGTGAAATTATATAGTTTAATTGGGGCTGAAAGCCCAAGCTTGGCCTGCTTGGCTCAGCCGGCCCTAATTAGATGATTTAATATTTT